TTCTGTGTGGGCAGTTACATGCACACTCAAAATACAGTTGGCTGTAAGGGTTTTCCTGCTGGCAGTCACAATATGAACCTTCCCATTTGCCTTGCACAGATGCCTTTGATGCAAGAGATCGCAATTCAGCCAGGGTCAAGGAGCCAATTGCATCATCATTTTAATTCCTTCTTAAATCACGGAAGTAAAGAAGTCAAAGATATTTTGAAGAATTGCATGCTTAATCTAAAAAGTGATTAAAGGCAACGGTTTCTTGGTTGTTTTCAGTAATGGTCATCAGGCAACTGTTTGCAGTAGTTGTCGCCATCTCCTCCTCCTCCTCCTCCTCCTCCTCCTCCTCCTCCTCCCTTCTGAATTATTTTGCCACTAAGATAATCTAAAAAAGGCCTCCAGGAACAAGAGTAACATTTCAGTACTGGTTAGCTTTTAAGTACCCACATAAAAGGGATCTTGGCAGGAATCTGAAGTATTGGCATCGATTCTGTGTTGATTCAGTTGTCCCATTGTGTGATTTTTCATAAGCACTCAAAAACATTTGAGAGTAGATGCAGAAGAACAGTTGTACCCCTCTTTAGATGGTGATAAAGGTAACTGAATGGCATTCCACCTTTCAGTCACTGAAATGAAAAACGAAAGGCAGCTTCACAGATTCCATAGTACTTCTTTGGAAAGCCCAAACAGGAAATTATTCCTGTAGCAAAAAGGGAGGGGGGAAAGGCTCAGCCTTCCCTAACCTTGTGCTTTCTGGACATGTTTGGACAGACACACCCAGAATTCCCAGTCAGTGGCCCCAATGGATGGGAATTCTGGGAGCTGTGGTCTAAATGCCTCTGAAGGCCACCAGGTTGGGGAAGGCTGGTCTAGATGAATGAGAAAAGAATCCCCACATCTGCTAAGGATGGGCAAGAAGCAGAAGATGCCAGAAATAGGGTCAGAATCCTGAATGTAACTTTTCACCGACTGATTTGAGATATTTGCAGAGTGGCAATGCTAAGTACATCTGAGAACTCATTACAGACTTGGGATTCTACATGTTCAATTAATTGTATCTCAAATATTTGCTTTACAATGATAGTTACAGAATATTAGGAATGATGCTTTATTGGAGACAACCTCAGTCCATGGCATTCATTGCATAGTTTCTGATCTTGAACAGATAATACTCAGGGCCCTTCAATGCTGAACCTGGCATAATCTTATCATAATAGCTATAAGGCCTGAAACCATGGCTGCATCTCAGTTCAGGTTCAGGCCAATTTGGGATAGATTCATTCCTGTAAGATTATACATAATTAAACAAGGAATCCTTTTGCTATGATGCTGAGGTTAAAGCATCAAAGCTCTAATCTCAGCATCAAACTGCAATCAAACCGCAAAGCCTAGCTCAGTCATTGATTTTCTGAAACATTTCTTAGCCTTAATGTAACCTTGCCACCGTCTTACTAAATCTCCTCTCCTCTCCTCCACACACATATAGTATATTCTACACACATATACTATAAGCTTAATGGGGTTTGCAGCCTTCATTTTTGGTTTATGGGTACATACGGAATTTAGACAGTGTTGTGGGCATTCTCACCATAAGCCTGCTGGGGGGAATTCTCCTGGTCCTGAAATGGCTGCCACTGGACAGTCACAAAATGCACATTTTCAAGAAGGCACACTAGTGCGACTAAAACTAAAGTAACTTGCTCAGGATGCAACTGGACAGCCATCTGAGAGGGATGGTGTAACGTGGAGTCTTGCACTGAGCAGGGGGTTGGGACCCGATGGCCCTCGGTCCCCTTCCAACTCTACTATGGTATGATTCTAAGAAGCCAGGTACAAGGCACAGGTGAGCTCCAAAACACAAAACCACCCTTTTGAACCCAGAGAAAGGTGACACTGGACATGTCTGTAGTAAAGTGCAGACCTACCTTTTTTTGTTTTTAATCAGAAGAAATCAAAGTTCGGGCACAGGAAGACTGGTGGGTATCAAGAAAACTTTGAGGGTACACAGGCTCTTGATAGATCTTACCTGGTGCCACTTTTGCTATTTTTTATCTTGAACCTGTCCACATGAGACTTTAGTGGATAATATTTGGCTCATAAATAGTACACAGTTCTAACAGCTCTTCTGATTTATTGGTTAGATATCTGAGGTTATAAACTTTAGGTTTTTATGATTTCTTCTGGTTATCTGAAATTGAATGCTTTACTTTGCAATGGTGATTGTTTTATAAACTGAGTGCCCTGAAGAAATGCCACTGGTCAGGTTAGCCAATACTAAGCTGGATGAACCAATAGTTTGGCTCAATATATGCAACTTCCTAACTTCTAGCCAGATTTTTGTGGAGTCAGTTTGGCGGTAGAAAGGGATGGAGACCTGAGAGCCCTGATTAAGTGAGAGTCCCCGTGCTTTCTTGATTCTTCTCACATCACTTTCTTCCAGCAAATTGGTCCTTCAAAAATGCCTTGGCTGAAACCTACATGTAACCTGCAGCTTCTGCCCAGATGTCCCTTATCCAGAACGAGGAGGTTGAGATTCAGGTATCAAGAAGAAAGAGGTGGAATTGCTAGGTCTCACACACAGCAGGAGGAACAATGTACCTTTCATACCCTTCAGCAATAGTTTCCAAGGATCTGATTTTCAAAGAATGACAGCTATTGCAAAATGGAAAAGTAAAGAAAACAAACATACATATCAGTAAATACACACCTGTGGGAATAGTTGCCTGAAGTTTTACATCTTTATGGTTTATAATACCATACCCACATGTACCCCTGTGGGTATATACCAGCTTTTATATACCAGGTATATACTTGTTCCCCCAGATACTTTGCAATACAGTATGAGAAGGGTTCATGCAGGCATATACTGCATGCCTTAAAGGTACAAAAAGTCAGGCATATACAGCCCAGCTTAGCTGGAAATTATGGGAGTTGCAATCCCATAATTCCCAACTAGTATGGCCATTGTCTGGGAATTATGGGAGTTATGGTCGGACACATCTAGAGAGCAACAGGTTGGGGAGGCGGGGGCTGGTGCATATAATGTCCTGTGGGAACTTGGAAGACCATATATTGTGGTCTTCATCTCATGAATACAGCTTGTTTTATTTCTGCTGAAGAAAGGGAGTTTATATGAGATCTTGGTGGATGATAACACATGACCTGGGGAACTGCAGTTTGCTTGATGGGCTATAATTTGTTCTGGTCTTGGATGTTTTCCATTGCAGTACAATGGTCTGCTGTATCAGTGAAGCATGAACACAAAACAACGGTTTTTTTAAAATTAGGAGTACATTTGGAGATACCTTTTGATATAGCAAACACTGTTAAATTTGATTAAACAAATGCACTTAAATAAACAGAATTTATAGCAGAATTTCCAAACCTGAAACCAAGTAAGTCAATGGAAAGTAGTCTGGAAAATAAAAGTTTTGGAAACTTTGCCCTTTCAGAATCAAAACCATCTTGATTCTGAAAGATATGTCAGGCTGGTCATTGGGTCCCATCCAGCACGATGGTTTTGTGTATTTATAGCAACACACGCCTCAGTGGAGTAAACATATTATGTAAGGATTTTTTCCTCTTTCTGCTGAGAATTTCTGCTGTCTCAGGCTGACTGCTGTTACAGGAACACCAGGGTTGCCTTTCTCACCAACCCATTTGGTCAGATGCCAATTCCACAATTCCTTCCGCCCCCCTACCCAAGTCATGATTCATCTTATAAAAAGAAAGTATTATTTCATATATTTTATTATTTGACTTGCAGAGAATAGAAGTGTTTGTCTTCCAGTCTTTTGAAATACAACAAGCTGGACTCTTATTTTCTCAGTCTGGTTGTCATCATTCCTCCTGTTCTTTTGTTTAAACCAAAAGACAAAATATGTCAGTTATTATAGTCTGAAGCACTCTTTCAGCTCCACCTGTAATTTAAAGGAATACTGGCCTACACCAAAGGATTGTTGTAAGGCAGGGAGGAGAATCTCAGTCTGGAGGCTAAATCTAGCCCCCAGGTTTCCCCAAAAGTTTATGTTCTCCCCTGAACTCACATCCCTTCCATCCACCAGTGACAGCTTAGTGGTTTCCAAGCTACAAGGTTGAAAAGTCTCTCCTAAGGCTTTGCCCACCCCTATTGCCTTCAGTCCCGGCTAGCCCAGAAACGGGACCCAAAGGGCTTCTCTGGAATTGAATTTTGCCAGTAGACTAAAAGAAATGCAGCACCCCTGTTGTGCATTTTCACACTTGCAGGTGTTCTACAAAGGTACCATTTAGAGATGCAAAAAGAGCAGCATCCCCCTTTAACACCACTGATAATTCTTCCCAATATATCCAAATATGGCAGGAAAATGCTCATAACACACTCCCAGTTTTTTTAGCACCATCATCTTGGGTATATCCAAGAGCAGGATCCTATCTTTTCCCCACCGCAAGCTCATTCCTCCTCTCCTGCAGCCTAAACATGGTCTAAACATACTGATTAATTGTGAAGTTATAGTTAGAAGAAATGAGCTACATTTAGCAACATACTTTTGTCAGTGTCCTTGCTTTTCAGACTGTGTTTTCTTAACCCGAGTCATGTTTCTTAGCTTCTCCATGGGACTGTCAGATCAACACAGGAAAGGCCCCTGCACCTTTAATAGCAGTGCGGAAGATGGAAATTCAGCAGGTGTAGCTTGCATGAGAAACAGCATCTGTGGAAATTCCTTCTTCTACCCAGCTATTCAAAATGCGTGGTCCTTTGCACCTGCCCCCTCTGCTGTGTTCTCCCAAGCACAGGTGTCCTTAGGCTTCGAATCTGTTTGTCAGTCCCCTGCACCTGTTCCTCAGAGCCCTGAGTGCCCACTGATGTCAGCAGAAAGCTGCCTCCCCGCACTCAGGTTCAGGCCGTGCTGAGGGTGGTGAAGCTGCAATCGTCAATTGCTACTGGAAAGGGCTGGGGTTAATTCCCGTGTGCTGCAACACTGTTCCAAAACTTCCCTCTTGCAGGGCAAGGAAACTTTTAAAAATCCCATTGGTTTCTGGTGATCTGAGTTAGGTGGCAAATTAAGTGAAAAAATGAGATTATTTTTTGAAATTAATTGGCTATCTTTGCTTCCTGTGAAATTTAAATACACTTTAATTATATTTATAAGTGTGTGCATGCATTTGTGAGTGCTTATATAAATTCACCCAGATTCATGACCTATGGATTTGGGTTATATATATAATTTTGAACTAACATCAAGTGAAGGTGTTTTTTTTTTACCATTTCTGGAGCATTCCACTTCCATCCTGCACATTAGTCTGTGTAACGCAAAAGGAGTTTGTTTCCTGTCTTTGTCAAGGAGAGAAGAGTTTTTCTCTAATTCCACCCTCTTCCTCACTCCAGGCTGGTTCACCAATTACAAAAAAGGTGCTTAACTTTGAAACCTTTCTACTGCAACTATGTCTAAAACATAAAACGTGAAGGTAGTTCTGCTGGCTGAAAGAAACTTGCAAACATAAGATTAGTAATGTTGATATTACAGGAATACCTTCTTAGGCCAACTCTGGGGTGATAAAATACTTTGCAAGGTTCTGAGAACTCCAGAGGTCTTTATCAGACAGGATGGTAAATAAAGCAAGAAGCTGAAGGGAGTGGGGGAAATGTTAAACATGCAACATATCTGAAAAAGCAAAGAGAGCCATGCTGGTACATCAAGAGTGGGGAAATCCAAAATTCACAGTTGGGCAATACTTTTTAATAGGACAAACCCAAATTTTACACATGCACAAGTTCAAAGCTTTCATGTTTCCTAGATGGTACAGTCAAAACAGTTCAAAAAAAGTGCAGAGGTAGGTGTCTGGGAAGATGGGAGGCCACGTGCTCTGCAGTTTGGATAGGCTCATCCTCTAAACAGAGATGGCAGTGAGGCTGCAGACATTCAAACTTGGTTCAACAAGTTATTAACATCCCAAATCTGTGGAAGGATTAGCACAGTGACATGAAAGAGAACAGACTTCCTGAGGGGAAAGTGTTCACAAGGCAGGGTCCTTACCTTCCTTTTCCATAAACCCTATTTCCAGCTATTCCCAGATACACACTCTATTCTCACTGATATAACTTGTTCATTTGTAACATTTTCATACCGTCCATTAATACACTTCCTGCACAGTGTGTAGGAAAACTATTTTAAAACTATAATTGCATGTGTACACACACACGTGTATAAAGTGTTGAAGGAAGGAAGGAAAACTAACCCTTTTTGAGTAAACATTCCCAAGAAAAGAATGTGCATATGGCAGAACGAGAACAGAAAGTAGTTGCTAGAGATAAAGAAGGCGCAGAGTGTGATAAGGTTGTGGTACAGCATGAAATTTAGGATGTGCTTTCTATAAGTCCAGCTGATGTCATTTTTCATAGGACTTGTTTTGTTTCAATGGGTGTCTAGCTCCTTATCTGTATTCTGTATATTATTTTGCTTACATGTACACTGGCAGACTTAAGTGGAAACTTTGGTGGAAACCTGTTCTCCTGTGCACATGGTTTGTCTGTCTTGTTGGTTGGTTGTTTTTCATAAAGAGATGTCTTCAGTTTTCTATCGCAGTCCTGGTGGGAGCTGAAATTTCTTCTTCACTACACAAAAAAGACAATGTGATAAAGTAATATTACTTGTGGGGTGCAAAGGCTCATGTAAGTCATGTCCCAATTTAATCAAAATTATTTCTAGATTGCCTACAAGGTAGAACTTATTAGTCATAAGTAACAAACTCCCCAAACTACAAAGGAGACACTTGGGTTCAGTCTTTAATAGACTGATTCCTCTTGCTATGAGGATGGACCATACACAAAATATATATGTAATATGCATGCAAGTGAATACAACAGATCTGTTTTATCACTAATTAAAATGTTTAATAACTAATCCATTTAAGAGGACTAAATCTTAAAGTTCCCTGAGCTGGCTTTCACAAATGCAATGCAATATTCCTTTCCACTTGACTCCTGAAGCCCCTTACATATCCTCATATCTGCTCTGGAGAATCCCATGCAACTTACTGAAATCCCATGAAATTTATTTAAAGCATACATAAATTTCTGTGGGGGGGGGGGAGAAAATTCACACCAGATACAAGTCAGAATGACCAATACTCATGGTCTTTCATAGGAACCTTAGTGACCCCCATGCCCTCTAGTATGGGGGTGGGGACAGGGCTATTCATGGAAAAGAAAAACATTTCGATAGATGCCCTGCTTCTTCCCTGGTTATGTGGGAAAGTATTACTTTGCAAAAATAAAAGAGGACACTAACTCCCCCCTCTCCCTCCAAAAAATTAAAAAATAAAATAAATTTACCCAACAATCAACATTCTGATGAGTCAAATTGCCTGGGAAGAAGAGGACATTAAGAAGTTAAAAAGAGATGACATGAACGAAATCAAAGGAATTGGCAGTTGGTGACAGTTGGCCCGCACAGCTATTAGCTCAAAGCTCTTTCAGACTTTGGTTATGAGAGAAAAGACGGTTACAGACTGAATCGCATTTTATTTATTTACTCAATTTTGAGACCGAGCGGAGCAACCAAGTGATGTCAGAATGTAAGTCCATGAGGAAGAATGAAAAAATGATACCTAGAGCAAGAATCAACTAATAAGCTAAACAAGAATGAAAGATGAACCCCTCAGATATGTAAAGGTGGGAGGGAGAGGGGGAGAAAAGAGGCGACTATTACTTAAAAGGTGCCTGAGTTTAGCAGATTATAATTGTTTGAAGTTACAAACATTACACAAAGGAAATAGAAAGCTATAGATGTGAGTACAGACAGACATCCTGTGGGAAAAATAAATGTAGCCAGCACCGCAGGAAGATGGGAGCCATGTGTGAACAGTTGTTAGTTTTTATTATCATCATATTGCATTTCTATCCCTTCTTTTTTCCTCTAGTAAGGAACTGAAGGTGGCCTGCATAGCACCATTTTATCTTTACAACAAAGGTCCAGGGGGCTTCGTATGTGTGGGGGGTACTGGCTCGCGTGCTGGACTGGGGACACGGGCGAGCCAGGTTCTGGTCCCTGCTCAGCCATGGAGCCAACTGGGTGACTTTGGGCCAGTCACTTGCTCTCAGTCTGACTTACCTCACAGGGTTGTTGTTGTGGAGATAACCATGAGAGGAGAATGATGTAAGTTGCCTTGAGTTCCTTGAAAGGAAAAAGGTGGGTTATAGATCTAATGAGTGAGGCCAGTTGAGGACTAGTTCTTGGATCTCCCAGGTCTCCAGCAGGAATAGTAAAAAGAGGATTACAGGCTAAATCTGAGTCATTTCTTCCACTATCTTTCTGCAACCTGCACCTAGAGAAATTTTACCTTTTACAGGTGCAGGAAACTGTTCTTGTTTTGCACCTGGCCGCCTTGTTGACCAAATGGTTTATGTCATGTTGTTTATATTCCCAAAATACACAACAGGGGAAAGTTTCCTTTTAAAAAATTTATTCCTGAGAATAGCCAGCTGCCAATTAATCATTCCAGAGGTGGGTGCAGCTGAGCAGTTCTCTGTTGGCCCTGTTATGCAATGATCATTAAATGGTTACATGTAACACAGTTAACACTTTCTAATAGATTACAGAAGTAAAAAGTTCTATGACCTCTCCTGACTGCATACCAAAGCAAAAAGAAGATGCTGGGAAGGAGGGGAGGAGGATGGGGTAGGTTGGTGTGAATTCCTTTGATTGCCCTGCTGTTATCTGTAAAGAGTCAACTGGCCCTCTCTGGTATCGTGCCTGGTTAAGTTCAGCTACTTTTCAAGGATGCAAACATGCTGATTTCTAGAAAAGAGGGTTTTTCTGGCCTGGCTCTGTGTCAACGATTGCATGATTTCCCCATTGAAAGTTATACCCATTGATCTGTACTTCAAAGTGGCATCTATTTTAGTGGAAAGAAACACCTCAGTGGTGCTTAGGCATGGGTGAGCAACATTGGGGTCTCTCCTGCTAGACAACTCTCACAAAAGAATTGAAACAAACAGAGAGCAAGGGTGGGCAACTTGCAGCCTCCAGGTGCTTGGCCTAACACTCCCATCATCCTGCACAGTTGACTGTGCTAGTGAGGGCTGATGGGAGTTGTAGGCAAAAAATCCAAAGAGCCACAAGTTACCTGCTGAGACAGAACCCAAGCCTAAGCATACTGATTTTGGAATAACTGCAACAGAGTTCGGTGGCAGATAGCAGTACATAGAAACATAAAAAATGAACAAGTCAGAAGGAACCTCCCAGGCCATCTAGTCTGACCCCTGGCTCCAGCCGGCTCCGCTCACGACATGCCTACCATGTGCAGGTCCAGCCTATCCTTGAACACCCCCACTGATGGGGCTTCAACCACCTTCCGTGGAAGCCCATTCCATACCCTAGGGGTCCTAACTGTCAGGAAGTACTTCCTGGCATCCAAACTGAACCTTTGTTGTTTTCACTTGGCTCCGTTGGAGCACATCCTGCCTTCCTCCGCAAGGGAGAACAGGTCTCTACCCAGCTCCATGTGACACCCACTCAAATACCTATATGTCACCAAAAGAGCCCCTCAAAGACTCCTCTTCTCCAGGCTGAAAAGAACTAGTTCCCTCATTCTCACCCCATATGGCTTTCTCCTGCCCTAAACCCACTGAAATAAACTCTACCTAACTCCAGCACAAGTGTGCTGCAAAGGAGCTCCTGGAACCCTCTAGGAGCTGTAGCCTCTCCCACAGCATCTGCAACCAGGAGCAGCTGTGTGGCTTCATTTTCAGAACATCTGGGAAACAAGGCACACTCCTTCTTTCACGGCAGAACTGTGCTCCGTCGACACACCAAAAAGTGGGGCTCATGGTGATTCTGCAGAGAAACCTCATGCGCCTAATTTCTCTGCAGATCCATGGTATCTACTAGGAAATAGGCTATGTGGTAAAACAGTGATGCAGCCTAGGCACAGGATGTGATGGGGGACACCAAACTCCCTAGAAGGGACTGCGAGCAGCCGAGACGCTTTTAATTGCCTGCCACTGCTGTGTAGGATTGCACCATTCCTTGAATAGCTTTTTCTGCACAGCTCAATTTTTCTACAAATTCTAAGCACATTCCAACCATCAAAATAATGAAGGACACCTCATTTTTCTAACCCTAACCCTAGCGGGTGCACACCCCTACCCCTAATACAGGGCTAAATTTCCATTGAAAATAAGATGATTTTGAAAAAGCCTTCCCTGAGTTGCTTTTTCTGCACAGCTCAACATTTCTACCCATTCTAAACAAATTCCAACCAGCAAAATCATGCCAGGACACCTCGTTTATCTAACCCTAACCCTACCCTGGGGTACATTCCCTAACCCTAATATAGGGTGAAAGTTCCATTGAAAAGAGCACAATTTTGAAAAGGCCTTCCTTGAGTTGCTTTGTCTGCACAACTGATCATTTCTACCCACTCTAAACACATTCCAGCCATCAATGTCAAGCCAGGACACCTCGTTTATCTAACCCTAACCCTACCCTGGTGCACACTCCCAACCCCAATAAAGGGCTAAATTTCCATTCAAAATAGGACCATTTTGAAAAAGCCTTCCTTGAGTTGCATTTTCTGCACAGCTCAACATTTCAGCCCATTCCAAACACATTCCGACCATCAGAATCATGCCAGGACACCTCATTTTTCTAACCCTAACCCTACCCTGCTGCAAACCCCTAACCCTAATACAGGGCTAAAGTTCCATTGAAAAGAGTACGATTTTGAACAGGCCTCCCTTGAATAGCTTTTTCTGCTTAGCTCAATATTGATGCCCATTCTAAGCACATTCCAACCATCAAAGTCATGTCAGGACACCTTGTTTATCTAACCCTAACCCTACCCTAGGGCACATCCCTAACCCTAATACAGGACGAACATTCCATTAAAATGAGGGAGATTTTGAAAAAGACTTCTTGACCTACTTTTTTTTCACAGTTCAACATTTCTTCCCATTGTAAACGCATTCCAACCATCAAAATCATGCCAGGACGGCTTGTTTTTCTAACCTTAACCCTACCGAGGTGGACACCCCCACTCTAATATAGGGCAAAAGGTCCATTGAAAAGAGCGCGATTTTGAAAAACCCTTCTTGAGCTGCTTTTTCTGCACAGCTCAACATTTCCTCCCATTTTAAACACATTCCAACCATCAAAATCATGCCAGGATGCCTCATTTATCTAACCCTAACCGTACCCTGGTGCACACTACCAACCCCAATAAAGGGCTAAATTTCCATTCAAAATAGGATGATTGGCTGAGTCGTGGCTCGTGATGTCATCGCCTGGTGCCACTGCTCCTTTCCGAGCATGCGCATGCCCCCTAGGGCCGCTGTTATCCGATGACTGGTTGCTGGGGTGATGGTGGGGCGACTTGGGTCCCGTGCCAACAGGCAGGGCTCTTGGTGCCTGCTGTGGCACGCATGCCATAGGTCCGCCACCACTGCCCTATTCAGCACAGGGTAATCAATGAACGTGCAGAGTGGGGCTATTAGTATGCTGTCTGATCTTTTTCACTTTATCTGTTTCTCTCAGTAATTGCTATATTTAATTAGAACTAACCTTCTTAAATCATGAGCACCTCTTTGGTGAAATAATATTATTGTAGACAAGAAGGAGAACAGATGCTTTGTTTTCTGTAAGAGCAGAAGCAGCCTTTCTTACCAAAACATCAATGAAAAAGACCATGTAAGAAAATAGTAACAACAGCAGGTCATCCTATGGAACAAGGGCTCTTCCTGACTTGTGAGTACGGACGGGAGAGACTTGTGCAGTCGGGAAGGCTATGAACTAGATTAACTAATGAAAATCCTATTATGCACTTGAGCCCACTGCCACTTCCTGGCAGGCTACTAATAAACGAGTGTCGCTGCTTCGAAGGCCCCATTTGTCGTTAGAGGTGTTAATTTTTAAGCCAGACCTTGCTGCTGTCGCTAACCTGGGCAACAGAGATTTGTTAATGGTGCAATGCGGGCCAGTAGGAAGGAATCCCTCTGCAGAATGGAAGAGCAGCCCTGCTGGATCAGGTCTATCTGTTCTGACAGAGACCAATCAAATCCCTCTGAGACGCAGAGATGCTCACAATCCAGACATGAGGACAATAATATTTTTCTGCCTAGGTCCCCCAGGAAGTTGTATGCAAAGGCATAGCACTTCTAGTACCAAATGTAATATCTGGCCATTAAGGCTAATAGCCATTGGAAGCTTTAGGGTGCAACCCTATGCATCTTCAGATGGAAGGAAGACCTACAATTCCCAGCATTCTCCAGCTGACCATACTAGCTGCACTTTTCTTCCTGCAACACAAACAGTATTGAGTCCTGTGTATGTATGTATTTATTTATTTAGCAAACTTGTATGCAGCCCCATTCGCCTAAGCCTCAGGGTGGCTTACAAATAAATAAATATAATTAATACAGTAAAATACAGATGGAGACATCCTGGCCAAAGTTGTTAAAATCAATAAATAGAATCAACAATTAAAATAACATTTGAATAAAAAGGTCTTGGCCTGGCAGCGAAAAGCAAATAACGACAGCACCAGGTGGACCTCTCTGGGGAGCGCATTCCATAGGTTGGGCGCCACCGCAGAGAAAGCCCTCCTCCGGGTACTTACCCTCCTAATATCCTTCACGGAGGGCTCCTAGAGAAGGGCCTCTGCCGCCGATCTCAAGGGGCGGGAGGGCATATATGGACGTAGGCGCTCCTTTAGGTAACCAGGACCCAAGCCGTTAAGGGCTTTATAGGTGATAACCAACACCTTGAATTGGGCCCGGACTTCAATGGGGAGCCATTGAAGCTGACGGAGGACTGGAGTTATGTGAGCACAACGTCCAGTGCCCGTCAGCAACCTGGCAGCTCTGTTTTGCACCAATTGAAGTATCAGGACCGTCTTCAAGGGCAGCCCCACGTAGAGTGCATTACAGAAGTCTAGTCGGGAAGTTACCAATGCGTGAGTCACTGTTGCCAGGCAGTTGTTCTCCAGGTAGGGACGCAGCTGGTGAATCAGCCAAAGCTGAAAGAAAGTGCTCCTTGCTTCCGCTGTTACTTGAGCTTCCAGCGAAAGCTCTGGATCGAGGAGCACTCCCAAGCTGAGGATCTTGTCCTTCAGAGGGAGTACAACCCCATTCAGGACAAGGTCCCCTTCCCCGAAGCCCAAGCCACCCACCAACAAGACCTCCATCTTGTCTGGATTGAGCTTCAGTTTACTGGCCCTCATCCAGCCTATTACCTTGACCAGGCACCAGTTCAGTACAGCCACTGCCTCACCTGGATTGGTGGAAAATGAGAGGTAGAGCTGGGTATCATCAGCGTACTGATGGTTCCGCAGCCCACACCTCCTGATGACCTCTCCCGGCGGTTTCATGTAAATGTTGAACAGCAACGGGGACAAAATGGACCCCTGCGGTACTCCATGGCATAGCTGCCATGGCGCAGAGCCATAGTCCCCCAGCACCACCTTCTGGAAACGATCATTGAGATAACAGCGGAACCACTGCAAGGCAGTGCCTCCAACCCCCAATCCCACAAGCCTATCCAGAAGGATACCATGGTCGATGGTATCGAAAGCCGCTGAGAGGTCCAGGAGAACTAACAGGGATGCACTCCCCGTCTTTCTCCCTGCACAGGTCATCATACAGGGCGACCAAGGCAGATTCAGTACCATACCCGGGTCTGAAGCCGGACTGAAATGGGTCCAGATAGTCAGTTTCATCCAAGAGTGCTTGGAGTTGTCCTGCCACACCCGCTCCAACACCTTGCCCAAAAACGGGATGTTGGCCACCGGTCTATAATTGGTGGCCATCTCTGGATCCAGGGATGCCTTCTTTAGGACTGGTCAGACTACCGCCTCCTTTAAAGGGGCAGGTACCTGGCCGTCCCTCAGAGACGCATTGACAACCTCCAGGATCCAGGTCCCTATCCCGTGCTTGGTGCTGTTAAGTAGCCAAGATGGGCAAGGGTCCAATAGGCAGGTGGTGGGATGTACTTGTCCAAGCTTTTGTCCAAGACGTACTTTTCGTCCATGGATTTGTTTAATCTCGTTTTAAAGCCATCCAGTTGGTGGCTGTCACTGCCTCTCACAGTAGCAAATTCCATAGTTTATACACTGTGCAAAGTCATTCCAGGTTCTAGTATTATGCGGGAATGGGAAAAAAAAATCCCTATTAACTTTCTGCACACTGTGCACTGCATTAAAGAAAACATGCATCATGTGTACCTTACTTGGTTTTTTCAGCTAAAACACCTGGAAGGTTTTAATAGTTCTTCATATGAACGTTTCTGTAGTTCTTGTATTTTTCATTGCTCTTTACTGTCCTCTTTCCAGCCTTACAATATGCTTTTGGAGGGACAGTGACCTGAAAAGGAAAAAGTTTGTAGAGTGTGTTCAAGGGATAATTTTTTTATAATGGTAGAATGATATTGGTATTTTTAGTCTCGGTTCCCAACAAGGGATTTTTTTTTTTTTTGCACAAAGGATGGCATTTCAATCTAACTGTCCTCCCAAACCCTAATGACAAATCTCATCAATGTATGCACAAAGTTAAGATTTATTTTCACCTTAGTGTGCATTATCACCATACTCACCCTGTCTAACTCCTAATCTAGAGTGGTTGCATCTTGTGCTCAGCCATGAGGATAAACTGGGCATTCTGTTAGTGCACCACCCACCCCGCCCTCAACCCAACAGTCTCCCTGCCTGTGGTTGTCCCTGCCAAGTTGCTGAGGCTGTTGTTCTGGAGAACACCAACATCCATGCTCAGGATTTCATTCTCCAGTATGGAGCTCCCCAGGGATCAGTCTTGCCCCCCATGCTGTTTACATCCCCGTGAAACTGCTGAGTGAGGTTACCCAGAGTTTAGGAGCACATTGTCATCAATACGCTGGTGTCACGCAACTCTATCCCTCCTTTTCATCTTCAGCAAGTGAGGCTGTGGATGTGCTGAACTGGTACCTGGTTGTGACAATGGACTGGGCGAGGACTGGATCTCAGTCCAGACAAGACTGCATGCTGTTAGTGGGTGATTCTTCCGATCAGATGGAGGGAATTCAGCCTGTTCTAGATGGGTTTGCACTACCCTTGAAGGAACAGGTTTATAATCTGGGTGTGCTCCTTTGTCACTTGGAGCATCTTCTACCAGCTTTGGCTGGTGGCTCAGCTACACACCTAACTAGACACAGATAACATAACTATCAATGATCTATGCCCTTGTGATCTCTAAACTAGTTTACTACAATGCATTCTACGTGGGGCTGCCCTTGAAGACTGTTCAGAAGCTGCAGCTTGTGCAAAATGCAGCAACCAGACCAGTAACAGATATCAGACAATGTGATCATATAACACCAATTCTGGCACAGTGGCTGCTTATATCCTGAGCCCGACCCAAGATGCTGGTCTCAGCCTATAAAGCCCTACACAGCTTGGGAAGGAACGCCTCGAGGTCCTGACCTTCCTCCCCCTGGGTACTACATTCAAGTTCTGGGGCTTATTTCCAATTGCCACCTCTGAGTGAGGCTCAGTTGGAGGCAGCAAGGAGGTCTTTTCAGTGGTCCCCCACCCACCCCAGTTATGGAATGAGCTCCCCACTAAGGGTCACCTGTCACCAACCTCACTATTTTGTTGGCACCAGGTAAAGATGGCCTTCTACAGTAGGACATTCAGGTAGCTTCTGGGGGGCCTGTTAGCTGCTGGCTATTTTTTCTTCTTCCTCTTCTGCTTCTTAAGTTATTGCTTTTATATATTTTAACTTGTCTGATACATGGTTAAAATTTTGTATTGTAAACTTCGATGATGTTTCAATTTTTTTTTTTTTTACCCTTTTAAAAATGTGCTTAGTGAATTGCCTGGAAAGCTTCAGCTGTTGAGTAGTAGAGAAATTTAACAAAATAAATTCCAGCTGATGATCGAGGGAGGTTAGCTGCAAAGCAGGACAGGGGTTATGAGTTGCACAGAAGAAGGGATGCAGAGATGATGTAGGGGCGAAGGGCAGGAGCAGTGCTAGGGACGGGCAAGGTCCAGCTCACTGGAAAATAAGAGCAGCCACGAGCGCTTGCATGTGCTCGTCTTCACATGCTCTAACGCCTCTCTGTAAGTGTGCCTTTAAGGGCCGGCTCCTCAAGACGCTCGCACGGCAAGAGCGGGTTTTCGGGCAAGGCAGGGCATTCCGTTCCAGGAGCGCCGCAGGCAGGAAGCTTTGTGGGCGACTGCGGGAGGCGCGCCCGTGGGGGGAAAGCGGCTGGTCCAAGGGGGATCCCCAGGGCCCCTCTGCCGCATTTCGGCAGGTGGGCGGGAGAGCGAGGCGACGGGGCAGGTGGCGCGCCAGAGATGCGGGCTCAGCCCGGGGGGCGCCCCCTCCCTGCCGGGCTCCGCGCCCATCGGCCCCCTCCCGGTAGAGCCCGCCCCGCCCCGCCGCTTCCTTCCCATTGGCCCGCCGCGCCGCCCGTCAAAATGCCGAATGGCCGCTCTCCTCAGGGCGGGGCGGGGCGGGGCGGCCGCCGCTTGCGCAGGGCTGTCACAGGGCAAGGCTGGCGCGGCGGCGGCGGCGGCGGCAGCGGAAGGCGCTGGTTGGCGGCTCGCGCTGGCAGGGCTGGCACTAGCGTCTCCCCGCCTGGCTCTTCTTCTCCCCCCGTGATTTAGACCGGAGTGCCCTCTTCTGCGCCGTCCAGATCACGACCGTCCGCGACCGCTCCGCGCACAGCCCCACAGCGGCGCAGGAGTCCGTCCAGCGTTCCCCGGACGCGTCGCGCTCTCCCTCGCCCCGGGAAGGACCGGCCACTCCGCCGCCGAGGGAAGGCGCAGCGGCTGACCTCTCGCCGCGGGAAGGAGCGCCACCCCTGCGGGGCCTGCCGTTGTCACCCACCGGAGCAGCAGCAGCAGCAGCAGCAGCAGCAGCAGCAGCAGCAGCAGCAGCAGCCTCGCGCTCAGGTCCACCGGGCGCCGTCGCTTCCGCCGTGAGCATGCCGGATAAGAAGTTCTTCGAGAACCTCTCCGGAGGAGGGAAGGCCATCGGCGTCTTGACCAGCGGCGGCGATGCTCAAGGTAACGGCGCCTCCTGCGCTTCCCTTCCCCTGCGGGAAGGGCTGTGTGGACCAAGAGGTAGTGCGGCTGATGGCTGGGGGGCCGGGGGTAAATGGAAGCGGGACTCGAAGGGCATGGCTCTGCTTCCGTTCTGGTGTGGGTGTCGGAAAGGAGCTTTCCACGTGCGCGGGGGACCTCAGGGCGCGATCCACTGTGTGTTTGGACAGGGAAAGGCCCCGGCACCTGCCAGCATCCTTCAACCAGCCTCTTCACGTGCAGTTGCGCTCCTGGGCGTCCCCATGCGCGTGCAGTTGTGCCCTTGGGCCTCCCTGTACACCTGAAAGTGCGCGCCCTTTGCTGCCCCTGCCTAGGTGGAACTGCGCTCTGAGAAATCTTGGCGTGCGGGGCTCGGAGGAGGCCACGGGGATTCACAGCAGGCGCGCCGACGAGGCTTCTTGTAGGCGCACGGGATCCCACTGCGGCAGGCGAGATGAAGCGAGCGGAGAAATGGAGCGGGCTGCCCCTCTTGGGAGAGCTCGGCTTCCTGTGCCGCGGCTAGTGAAAGAGCTGAGGAGGGAGAGAAACTTTTAGAGGAGGAGGAGAGCGAAAGGGACTTGGAGGGAGGGTTCCCTCTAGCTGAGGGAGCTACAAATGACCAGCTCACTGCAAAGGGCGGGAATAGGGCCCCCGGACCGGGCATCGCCAGGCTCGCTGGGAACGTGGCTCGCTCGGATGCTCTCCGCCACGGGAAAGGAGGGGGGTGGTATTCGTGAAATGCAAGGCGGTGGGGCGCGGTGGGGGGGATAAGGTCATCTGCCACACAACAGAGGGAAGAGGAAACCGTGCCTGTTCCGTCGAAGTACCACCAGCGCTGATAGCCTCTCCTCGTGCCAGCATTTTATGACACATCACTTTCTAGTGCATCCTGAAAGCCCAACGAGGGCAGGGGAGGTCTCCTTGCGGGGCGAGAGAAAGACTGCAAATCATCACCCCCTTGCTCCGGGTAAATCCCGCGCCCTGAGCATTGTGGGGGTTTGGCTGTTTGCAGAAGAGAAGCTCAGGCTTTAATTCGGATTGGACTACTCGACTTGGTTACTGTAGCTAGGCAAGAGGGAGTCCTGTTTCATAGGCACGCATGGACGGAGCCTTGCAAGGGTGAATCAGGTGATCAGCGATGCCCCCAGGCGAGCAATCCCGAGCCTCTGGGCAGGAAAAAGTCCTACAAGGTCCCACAAGTTGTAGAACCTTTTCCCAGCTATGCATGCACGAGACCGCGCTCCCGCCTACGAGGACTTGCTTTGTTCCCGTCGAGTGCAAACCGGGAAGAAGTGCCCCCAGAAACCACACACGTGCCCATGATGGCCAGAAAGCTCTCATCTTGCATCTCATGCACAGCTTCGCCCAGCGGTCGCGATCGGTTGCTAGACGCGTGGATCGGTCGTCACCCTTCGTAAGGAGGGCCGGCTGCCAGGGAAGCGCCGCCCTGCCTCGGCGGCTGCCCGCAGGGGCAACTTTGCCCGCGTTCCTGGCCTGCCGACTTGTTAATATGTCCGGAATGTGTCGCCCCGGATCAAGTTCCGTTCAGAAGCGTGCCTGCGGATTTGCGAGTCGCAAGCTGGCGGGCTCCCTTGGCGTGGTCCGCTCGCGCGGGGAAGCTCGCAGGCCGTGCTCCTCAGCCCGCCGGAAACCGGGAGGACCGGCGTGATTCGCATGCGGGTCACGGATGGGCCGTGCGGGACCGGCTCGCCCGCGGCCGTGCGGCAGGGAAAGCGCGGTGCCGCAAGAGCCGCGGGCGGCGGCGCGTGCCACCGCCAGCCGCGGGGGAACAAGGCAGGGCCCCTCTTTCTGCCGCGGCCCCGCCACCGAGGGAGCGTGCTGGGGGAGGCCCCGTTGCGCGAGGGGTCAGGGAAGCGGCGGCCCCCGCGGCGGAACGGGCGGCGGCGCCGAGCACCTCGCTGCCCGGGCGTGTGCGCCGCTCCGACGCAGCGCGATCCTAAGGCCCAGGCACGTGCCCGGCCCCGGGCCTCGCCTGCCTCGCCCCCCGCCTTCGTCGGAGCGAGGGAGCGCGTCGCGGCAGGCCCCGCCTCCCGTGTGTACGTGATCCTTCGCGGGTAGCCGCGGATGCTGCCTCGCAACGTCACGCTCGCTCGAAGCGGCGGCGATGATCGCGCCCGCGCCCGCGCCGGTCCGCTTGCCGGGCACGGCAGGCGTGTGGGGAGGGGCGGAGCGGAGCCGAGCGGGGCAGAGGCCCCTCGGATGTCTCTGGATCAGGGCTGGAACGGGGGCTGGTCATCAGTCCCTGGAGGGATTGTCCTCGGCACACGTGAAAAGGAAGAAGAAAAGGGGGTTGGGGTGGGGAGAGCCTTAGAGCGTGCAAAGACCGGGCAGTTACATCACCCTTTGCGACCCATGTGGTCGGAACCCTTTGCTTTTTAAGCTACATGCTGAAGCAGGGCAATTTCTTTCTTTCTTATGCTTACATCCTGCCTTTTTTTCCTGCATGGAAAAGCCTTCCAAGGAGGCTTTATGCCCCCTTTATTTCTCCATTTTATTTTCTCAACAACCCTCTGAGGTAGGTTAGGCTGAGAATCAGCCACTGGCCCAAATTCACCCACTCAGCTTCATGGCTGGATGGGGACTCAAAACTGAAGTCTCTCGAGTTCCTGTGCAGCACATGAAAGTTGCCCCACTAAGCTCAGCAAAGCTTCCTACAAAGTTTTTTTTTAAGTGTTACGATGCTACTGCTGGGAGTAGGTAGACACCTGACCTGGCTGCACATTTCTGGAGCTGCTGGGTGAAGAGAATCTCTGCCTGAATTTTCTTTTTTTTCCCATCATCCGGAAGGGCTGAGCCCTGGCACGGGTTTCTACATGGCTGGGCTTTATGTAATCTTAAGCAGCAGCTGCGCATGAGAGAGGAAAATACTTTTTGCCAAAGAAGAATCCATTGCAACCTGTACAGGTCTTATGAAAACGAATCCATTGTTTTAAAGAAGGTTACCTGGAGAGCTAGTTAAGCACCGTAGCCGGTGGAAGAGTCTGGAGAAGAGAACAAGGGGGAAGTTTACACTGTAAATACTGGAAGCTGGAACTTGGACTTCAGCCATGCCTCTGTGTTCAGAGGTGGGAAGAGGAGAGAGAGAAAGACCTAAATCTAGCCTAAAGACTTTATTTTTTATTTTATTTTATTTTTTGTCTGGAGGGAGTGGTGCCTTTGGAAGACCATTTTTTATAAGCCTGCTTGCAGAAAGAGGGAAATGTGATATCCCTGTTATTAGGAACCCATGAGGCGGACAAACGCATCATGGTTGCCAGTGACTCATACTTTTTCAAGGTCATTGAGGCAAGGTGGGACCAAGCAGGAACTTCAGGCTCAGAAGTTGGAGGTGGCAAATCTGCCAGATTTCCTGATTCGCTGAGCACCTCGTGCCCAAGCACACAACTGGAGAAAAAAGCCCTTTTTGTATTGCATTTTGTTTTCAGAAGCCTTAATAAACACTTCTGTTGCCAGAACTCCTCCTTTTGCATATTATTCCCAGGAGGCAGACAATGGAAGGGTGTCAGTTTGAAAATGCTTGTGTGTTACACCTTGTGTAGCCATTCTGCTAGAGTTTCTGTTATTGATTGCAATAAAAGTGCAGTTACTGATTTGCATGTCACAGGAACAACTCTAACATCAGTTTTTTCTGTGTTCTTCCTCATGTGTGTATTTGGAATATTCATTTTTCTTAGTTTGGCCCAAGTGCACATTCACATGTTTTTTTTTAAATAGACTGAAGCATACTCACCAATATTTGTTCATCTGTTTGTCTTCTAAATCCATAGGGATTAAGGATGCAGTTCTAAACAGAATTACCTAGGAGTAGATTTTACTGATTTGGGGGTTGGGAGGGGGTCTAATCCTGCAAACAGTTACCTGGGAGTAAGACTGATTTTAAAAAGTGGGACTTCTGAGTAAACATGTATAGGATTGCACAGGTAGGGGCTGCCTGAAGTCACATTGATTTCAGTTTGTCTGCTCCAGATATGGCTGGATCTAAGCCGTAATCTGAAGTAATGCTGCTGCAGACATTTTCTGTGTGGCACATTGCAGCATTTGCTCTCGAGTTAGTACATCTGTAAGTGCAACAGTGCATTGCTTCAGATGGGGAACTGTGTCCTTATGATGCACCGCTGTTGTGAGAAACTTTGTGGGGCTATCAGTACTTCGACAGCCCTTCTGCAAAGGAAGAAGCTGCATGTCAAGGCAGGTCTTGGGATTTTATCAGCTGTTTGTGATAATTCTGCGACACATCACACTGAAAAACAGTTAATGAGAATGTACCTTTTCTCACCGGTATCTCTGGAAAGTGTTTCTCAATTTTGCAAAAATCACAGAGGCTTCACTTCTACCTGCCTAGTCCCATGGAATTCACTATGGTTTACTTCTGTGTAGACCATGGAGGGCAACCAAAATTGGATGGGGGACCAAAGGACACCCTTTGACCTCTGGGCTGAATGACATGGAAGGGGGTGTGGCCATGCCCTCCATGTAAACAGGTTCATTACTGGAAACAATGCTTCTTTAAGGCTGGAGAACTTTGTTCCCCTCTATCAAGGGCCCTTGACACACAAGATTGACCGAAATCAGTTTGCTGATAACCGCAATTATATTATAAGCTCTTAATTGTATGATAAATAGGTTAATTATTTAAGTAGTGACTTAGAAGGGAACACTGGTGTGTTGCCATCTCCGAGAGCTCTTGTTGCTCAAACTAGAGTTCACTGATTAACAGGAATAACTCGGTGAACTATCCGTGGAACTGGAAGCAGGTGAAAACACATGTACCTACTGCAACTCTCCAGTCGTCTTGAACTGAATTGGTGGCACTATTCACTGGATCCGTACAAGCGAGTTGCTTGCTGCCTTTTAGTAGGATTTCCAAGTAATAAGAGTTGAGATTCCCGTTCACTAGTCCAACCCAAAGGATGTTTACCCAGAAGAAATCCTATTATAGTCAAATGAGCCTTGTGTTTTTATTA